CACCTTAATTCTCCCAAATCCCAGTCCTATGCTTAGATTAATGATTCTTAACCAGGGTGCTGGAGGGTGCCACATAATATTAGCACTGTTGGATTTGGGTCAGAGGAAAGAGATGGAAACTATACAGCACTCATTCCAACATTATGGTAGCTATAGAATTGATTCATTTACTATGGGAAGGGAAAATGAACAATGGAGCAGCCCTTGAGAGAAGGGAAGGATAGGACAGTTACCTACTCACTTCAGAGTTTATAGCCACCAGGATTATGGAGCAAGAGATGCCTATGCAGAACAAGTTGTGCTTTTCAACTATGGCTAATTTAAGTGAAAGAAAATGTAAACATGGATGGGATTTTTGAAAATGTTAGCACTGACCCCCATGGAAGCAAATTTACTGTCAATTTAAATGGGAGTAGAATTAGGCCAACACTGCATGCTGCTAAAAATTCCCAGAAGCAAATAGTTTGACAGAAAGATGCCCTTTTAATATATAGGTGCATATGAAACAAAATGCATGAGAATAAAATTGCTATTTGAATTGTAAAATCATCTAAGAATGGATATGTTACATTTTCCAAGGAAGCTTCTGAGGCTGCTACCAAATAGTCTTTTGGTTGTATGAAGACAACTCTAACAAAAATTCAAGAGCCTCTCTTCATGTTCAAGTTTCACTTAAAGATAATCAAACGCAGCAGAGTCAGAAGCAGAGTCCTGATTTTTTTTCACTTTATGAACAACACATCCATTATGCAGTTGTATGTATGTGTATCTACATATTTTTAATAATTCTAAGATCTATGGTCTCTTTTTCACAGTAGTATTTTTTTGTGACTGAAGGCACCACTGGTATTTGAAGCAATGTCCATTAATGTATCACAGAGCAAGTCTAGACCAGGGGTGGACAATTATTTGGGCTGGAGGGCTACTTAGAGGGAGTTTAGGTGAGCTGTTGTGGACTGGGTCAGGATCCCCACTCCCACCCCATAACCATGCACCAAAAATCCTTAAGTGGCCCTCTGGCCCAAATAATTGCCCACCCCTGATATAAGGGCAGAGAGAACAAAGCTTAGGGGAACCTAACCTTTGTTTCCCACTTCCCCCTGTAAACCTCTTCCCTACCCCAAGTCCCCAGCATGCAACTGGGCCAGTGCTATGCTGTATTCTTGTGTACTGCCTCAGGCCACATGGGCACAACTGGCATGGCTGCTGCCTAACCCAGGGACTTGGGGCAGGGGAGGAGGTGCAGGAAAAGTGGGGAAACAGAGCATGGCACTGGCCCAGCTGGGCTTGGATGACTCGCAGCTATTGGCCCCCTTCCTCCACCTTGAGTCCCTGGTACACGGCCGGGTCAGACAGGAGCCATGCCAGCTGTGTCCACACGGCACAAGAAGTGCACAGGAACACAGTGTGGCACCAGCGACTCAGGGCAGGGGAGAGGGTGCAGGGAGAAGGGGGCTGGGAGCTGCAGGTTACCTGGGCCTGGCCACGCTAGTGCCATGCTATGTTCCTCCCCACTCCCTAATCTCCCTGCACCCGCTCCCCCACTCCAAGTCCCCGGCACGTGGCTGGGTCAGACAGGCAGAGCTGGCTCCTATGTGGCCTGAGGCAGTATGCAGGAACATGGCATGGCAGCATGTTAGCAGCACCCACGTGCCTACCAGGCCCCAGACTGGCACAGCTGGGATAACCTGTGGCTCCTGGCATTCTTCCTCCTACACCCTCTCCCTTACCAGTAGGGGGAACCTTACCTGAGCTTTGACTTGCCAGGGGCCTGCTGTCTGGTCTGCAAATAGCCACAGGATTGGAGCAGTGCAGACAGTCTTGCCAGGCAGAAACCTGGCCAACAGCTCAGCCCCCCCTACCCTGGAGGTACACTGGGGGTTAGGGGGCAGGACAAGGCTGGTTGGCTCAGGAAGGGAGTGAGTGGCTGTTGCTGCTGCAGCTGGTTGAAATGGGGAAGGGAGAAGGGTGAGGCACCGAAAGCCAGGGCAGCTGTGGGCCAGATACAATTTTCCTTCCAAGGAGCAGCTGCAGGCTGGATAGAATCATTTGGCAGGCCAGGTTTGGCCTACGGGCTGTATTTTACCCACCCCTGGTCTAGAGTACTGTAGAGTATGGTGAAAATGGTTATGCAATACTAGCACTCCTGCTTGCTAGCACCATTTCCCTTGCTCTTCTCTGCCACCAAAGGCAACACTAATAGACAAAGTCCCAAAAGACACTACACTGTACAAAGTTAAGATGCATTGGGATGAAAAATTGCTCTGGATAAGACAAAGCAAGGACCTGAACACAAGTGGACCTCTTTTTAGGCCAGCCCACACAGTATGAGTGACATGTGCACCCAGACATGCATTTCCCAGAACAGTTTGAAAGGTTGTTTTCATTCCATTTTGTGGTAGAACAAAAATGTCTAGAAGTCATCACAAAATGGAACTGCTGCTCTTCGGTCAGCTCAGATTGGTCTTTTCCAGAGCTCCCAGATTAGGTTAATTGAAAACTAAGTTGTCTTTCTTCTATCAGTTTAACTTTATATGATGCTTGATAAAGTTACACAGCCAAACTTCATAGACAATAGCCCCATCAGCAAAATCAAGTTGACACTTCCTTAAGCTATAATGGATCTACAGCCCTAACAGGGTGTGGGGGGAGAACCTTGTTTACAACATTATAGTAATGGGCCAATTATCTCAAGGGAAGGGGGGTGGGAATGCGAGGACCAAGCAAATGTTTAGTAAAATCAGCACTATTTTTCTGGGGTTGTAATTGTATCCTAACTCTTTCCTTATGCCGGGTACTAAAGACCAAGTAATGATGCTATTCTCAGGATACTGAAAGAGAAGGGACAGAGCCACATAATTCCAAGCTTCTTTTCTGCGTTTTCCCCTCTCACGCAACTTTTACAAACTAAATTTGAAAAAAACTTCCTGTAAACCGAGTCATTCTAATTGAAAGCAAAACATCTGGGATTAATTTTGGACAAGTTCTAGTGCTCATGAAATTGGCTAGAACAATTCTCTATTAGAGAGGAACAATGTATTAATTTTCAAGTGATATGACATAACAGAGGCATCAGCAGTGCAAGCTGGTTACAGGAAAAGGGATCATTGGTTTATGTCAACGTATCCCAATGGCGTCAGCAAATAACGAGAACTTGCTGCAAGCCCCATGTGCTTGCTCATGCTTTGATATCAAAAACAAAGGGGGATATTACAGTTCTCCAAACTTTGGGAAAGACAAAGCAGGAAATCCCACAGAACATACCATGGACATTGCCATGAAGTCATATATGTAGATACCACAGTACTGGGGCTATAAAAAAACCCCAAGAGCAGAATAACCTTTTACTGTAAGTCTGGGCTTAGCAATAGCATGAATGAAGGGAAATAAAAAAGGATAGAGAGCCTAAGCTAATAAATGATCCCATCTGTACTTTTTTGAATCTGTACTTTTTTTTAAAATGTCTTCTTGAGCTAAGGGGAAAAGAGGGCTACTGCTAGCCTATACATAGCATATGTCAGGCCCCTGCCACATATTACACTTATGGCATGATTAACCAGTTAATCAAATCTTAAATTGCAAACTAGACACAGGTTAAAGCAGGGGTGGATAAAATATGGCCTGTAGGCCAGATCTAGCCCACTGATTGGATTTAGCTTGTGGATGGTGCCTGCCAATTAATTGGATATAGCCTGTGGCTGCCCCAAGGGTGCCCAAGGGCAGCCTGCGCTGTACTGCCACCCATGCAGATGGCCCCAGCCCCAGCCTGTGCACAGTTCCCCTGCAGGGCTGCTCCTGGTGCAGGTGCAGCCACCCAGCTGCTGCTCAGCTCCCCCTGCTTCCAGCAACTCCTCCTCCTCCTGCCCCTGCTGTACCACTCCAGGGAGGGTGGAAACTGCAGCTGGGTAGCTCCTGCCCCTGTGCACCGGGCTGCAGCTCCAGACTGCCTGCCACCTGCTTAGCTGCCTGCAGGGGGCTGCTCATCACACTGGGCAGGCAGAGTGAGTAGAAGGCAGCCAGGAGCTGGAACCAGAGCCCTGTGTGTTGGGACAGGAGTTGCCAGGCTACAGCTCCCCCCTGCCTGGAGTGGCGCAGCAGGGGTAGGAGGAGGAGGAGAATCCATTGGAGGTGGTGGGGAGCAAAGCACTACCCGGGTGGCTGCAGTCCCACTAGGAAGTTGTGTGTACTGGACAGGGCTAGGACCATCTGGCAGGAGCAGGCAAGAGCACAGCACAGGCTGCCCCAGGTGGGCTCAGCCCCATGTAGAGCACCATGAACCAGTTGGAGGGGGAGGGCACAGAACACACCTGCACTGCACTGCCCCAGCAAGCTCTGTTGCATGTGCCCCCTGCCTCCTCCCAGCCCCCAGGTTCTGAGATCCTAGCATGCACGCAGCACCCCCACATAATACAACATACAAGAGTTAGACTTTATTTTGAGTACTGCAATTGACTCTATATATACACACTACTAAAAAAAAAAAAAAAAAGCGCAAGCAATCAGGACAAAAGAGATTTTTTGAAATAAAGTTAAAATGTTAGAGTAGGTGTTTGATTTTTAGTATGATTTTATCTATAATTTGTTAAAATGGTATCTTCTAAAAGATTGTGTGTGTACAGCCCTTGGCAGTTCACTAAAACTCATTAAGTGGCCCTCCAGCTGAAATAACCGCCCACCCCTGCATTAAAGCACAAATAGCATCATAAAACAAGGAATAAAAGTCACAAAGTCATTCCACAAAAAATATGTAATAACTTTGTGGCTGAATCCTAGGATGCATTAACTGAATGCATAGCCACATGTACTCCCATGACTGGGAGCCCAGCTCAGCTGACAGGGCTCCCAGCTACAGGAGCTTAGTACTTGCCAGTGCAGGGGGAAGACAGGATCCTGATTCCAGGCTCCCCCTGCACCAACAGCAACGCATGATAGGATCTGATGTATGATTCCACAATCATGCCTCCTGTGATTGTGTGCATCGCACATCAGATCCCATCATGCCCTGACCATGTATAGGGAGGGAGGGAGGGAGGGGGGGGGCTAAATTCTGACACCTGAATAGGCAGTTACCCACACCTAAAATATATATATTGCCTATTTATTTCCTGCTTCATTTCCCATGTCAATGCTAGAGTAACAAATCCAGCAGAAAGGAGCAGGCCTTGCATCCGTCAAATTTGTGGTGCTAATTCTAGATCAGTGATTCTCAACCAGGGTGCTGCAGCACCCAGAGGTGCCTTGAGATCAGGATGCTATGCAACGTTAGCACTGTTACATGTGCAGAATGGGTCACAAGATAAACCCAGAAGTTTAAAATGGGAATTCATAGTGTTAAAAACATTCTGACCTGTTGTAGTCTTCCTAAGTTCTTTATAGCAAAATAATTGCCCTATTACTTTTCCATAAAGTTAAACTAAGAGATGGAATTTTCCAAGGGATATCTGAAGCCTCTTGAACAACTGAAGAAGGATGCAAGTCATTTTGGGTGCTTTAGTTATTTGGGGAAATTAATAGCAGAGAAAAAAAAAAAAAAAAGAAGCAGAGTTTGTATTTTCCAGCAGGTAGAGAGAATATATTTTCCATGTTGGCTAGATAGATAAAGGATTTTCATGTGAAGAAGTTGGCCACCAATTTGAATAAATTGAGTTTTAAAGGGTTTGCCTCAACTTATTTTAAATCCTAGGACAGGGCCACATATGGACAAGAGAAGCTAGTAAGTCTCCCCCTAAGTCATAAGATTTCATTTGGCTGCAAGGCAACAGCATGTTAGGGTACAGAAATCAGTTAGTCTAACCTAAATCAGAATTCACTTTCAAGGTTGCTTGCAATTGCACTGAAAACTGCTCCCCTCTCTGGGGCAGCTGATGCTTTTGGGTCAGTAACTTTTACTCATACAATTTCTTGTTGTGATGATACCGTTAGATGAGACACAGCAGCTCACTCATGACACTTTCAAAAGTAAATAATTTAACATGGTCCTTCAATCCTACATAGAATAGCCTGCATAGCAATTAGGAGTGAATAGGCTAGTGGGATCCCTGCAAATTGTTATCAATTTAGACAGGTACAGAGATGCAGATTCTGTACTGAGGTGTACCTAGTCCATGTTATTAGTTTAGGTTCCTTTTACTTTATAACACATAGACAAGCTGAGTGGCCCATTTTCTTAAAAGAGAAGTGGTTCAAATCCCTTCCCAGAGACTATATAATTTCATTTAATCATCTATAATATGGGCTCTCTATAAAATGTGATTACCCTCCTGCATAATTCCTCTTAAAATTGCTGAAGAATTAAAGCTTGAGGATTTGATCTTTCACTGTAAAAAATTGAATGGTTCAGTTCTTCACTGCCTTGCACCTTAAATAGTTACCAACACCCCTATGAGTCATATACATACAGTATTACCAAACTACAGAAATAAACCATTCTACCAGTCGCTGGACTGTGTCAATTCAGGTCTTCAGTCCCCCACACTTCTGCAATTATAAACACAATCTTAAAAAAACAAACCTTCAGCAAACAGGTCAGTTATCTGTCTGTACTGATCAACACCTTCATTCAGGTATGCCAACTCTGGAATACAATGATTATAGGTTTGGTGTCACTATTAGTTTCACTGACCATTATAGAAGAATTATCAAGCTAATGCACTTATCCAAATAAAAAAAATATGTAGAATGCTGTTTTATATGGTTACATAAAAACCTGCAGCGTTTTTTAAGATTTAGGGCAGTAGTTCTCAACCTTTTTAGACGCAAGGCATCCCCTGCATACCTTTTGTGAAGTGAATAGCACCTCATTTCAAAAACTGATTTATTAGCATTTATCCTTGCAAAGGGGCCTGGGTGATGCAGGCAGGGGAAAGGCCAGGAAAGGAAGCCCGTATCTGCGCTTCTTCCCTAAAACCTGCTCATTTCTTGTGGTTATCTCCTTATCTCAGGGCACCCTTCAAAGGATCTGGAGGCACCCTGGGTGAAACCTGGATTCAGGGACAGATTAAGGCAAATTCTATTTAATTTGATTCACCGTCCTAGGAGGAAAGGCAGAGCCAAACAATTCCAAGATTTTCTGCATGACTTGGCAGTAATGTGTTGTCTTGGATGGTGGAGCCTGGCTTTTAAATGTTTCACTGAAACATGTTAAATAAAAGAACACAGATAAAACACATTTTTGCTTATTATAAAAGTAATAAGATTTAAGGAAAACAAAACAAAAAAAAAAATGTAGCAGCATAGAATAATCTTTGTAAAAATCCTGATCTCTTAGACTTGTATTTAGCCACTGAGATGTTCATAGCATTTTTCTGATTGGGATGAATTATCTAGGACAGTTCCTGAGCAGCACATACATAATTTATCTCAGACTGTTGGGGAAGTGATTACATTAATAGTGAAGAGGATATTGAAGCCTCATGCCTGTAACGATTTGTATTTGAAAATACATTTTTAATAAAAGAGACTAAGGGCATCATAACCAAGATTTCCATCTTGTCATGGATAATTGTACCTGTCTGCTGATTCAGGTTTACTATACAATTTTACTAGGCCAGCAAGAGAACAAATGGCCTGTAAATTCTCAGTATTTGTATTGGCCAAGAGTTCCATTTGCATTGAGGTCTTGACAGTGAAAAAACAGCATGGGCTACGCCAGCTTTACAAATACCCACCCATCCTGACCTACCAAGGAAAAGCAGTGCGCGCCCCACAGGAATATGGCCAAAAATGGGACTCTGATATACTGAATCAGAGCATCTCTTGAGCAGCTCTGTCTAGTAGGGGCCCCATACCTCTTCCCATAGTGGAACTTTAAAAGGTGACTATGGTGTTCTCCAGACAGTGAGGGGGAAGGGAAAGGAATACATTTTACCTCTTCTATACTAACATGGTGAACTACAGCAATTGTTTAACATTTTCATTATAGAGAGTCAACATATCTGTTTACATTGAACCAATTAAAATGTATGAATGTAGTTAAATGGGAAAAGCTGGACAATAAATTATCTGATGCAGAAAATCATTATAAAAACCTACAGCTATCATAAGATAACAAATGTCTTCCAAGCCAGACAGAGCACCTGTCATCTTGGTTAAGAAGAATATAAAATGGCTTATAGAAATAATAAGAAAAAAGAATGCATCAGGTTATAAGCAAAAGTAATCTGTACTAAGTGGTGGGAAAAAGATTAAGTTTACTTATCCGTTGTAAACTCCATATTTCAAGATCAACTATTAGTCTTCTGAAATCTCATGCTAATATAATTACATTTAATAGCAGAAATAACTCAAGTAATAATTCTATAATAGGAAAAAGCTTTCCTTTTTTAGCTTATTCATTAGGCTGTTGATGAATATGATCCTTTGTATTTAAGTGGCAAAAAACTGAGTTACTCTAAGGCTTGGTCATGACAACAATAACAATCTGGAAGATAACTCCTATTACTTCAAAACACATGCATCTCAATCTTGTCAGTCATTCTGTAATCATCACTTCCAAATTCCAAACGTTTATCATGACCATTGCACTGTACATAGCTGAGAAAGTAGCTCATCCATTCTATACATGCATTTTCCCAAAATTCTTATAAATAACTATTTACAACAATGTTAGAGCAGGAGGAGCAGTATGACAGGTTTTGAACCCATCTTTATAGACAATCACTATAACAACATTTAAGCTTAAAAAAAAAAAAAAAGTTGAGAATACCAGATTTTCTTTTCTTTTACTGGTTATAAACTGAACATAATTCAATTAACGTAGAAATGTTACAGAAATGAGTTATGTGCCAACAAATTGGAACAAGGTAAAACAAAACTTGGCTCAAAAATCTATACAAAAGGCAAGTTTTTTTATTATCACAAGAAATGACTGTAAGAGTAAAGGACATATTGTGACCTCATCAATTAGAGGAATTATAAAAGGTTAGTGGCCTTCCTAGGAGCAGAGACAATTGAAATACTCTGTTCTAGGAAAACACAGGAGATGGCTGTCAAATTCATCTTCCACTTGCCCTCCCTCTCAGTACAGGAAGGTTCTGAAGAAGAACTTAAGGGAAACTGTTCCAGAGAATAGTATGAGAAGCAGAGACCAAAAGGGTTCAATTTTCCCTCTTAGTCTTCTTGCTCTTTGATTTTCTTCTTCTTCTTCTTCTTCTCTGAACTCTGAAAATTAAACAGAAATATTGATATGAGCAAACAATAATAGAACAGATAACAAAGCACAGCAGTATGCACAAGCAGGAAGAAGGCTCATGTTTGAAGGGGCTTAGTAGGCATTAACAGTCATTAGGGACACACATCACATTCATTTCCTTCCTTAAGACTTCAAAAAGTACGCTCACAAAACTGTTAACCTTGGGTTCCTGTAATGCAAAACAGGGCACGATGAAGCCTGGAACCAAATCAAGGCATTTAACACTTGCAAAACAAGACTCTCTCCTCCTAAACCCACATGGGAGTAAACTGCCAGCTATAACATCAATCTGCCATTTAGGTTTTGCCACATATTTCAGAACTTGGCAGAACCAGAGCTGGTTTGTACCTCAGGCTACAGCCACAGCAACGTTCTGAATGGTACCGTTTACAATTCTAGCCTACACTGTGCATTACGTGCATTTACATTTAGGTGGCTGCATCATCAACATTCTCAAGCCTTCTGATCCACAACACACACGATTTAAAAAAAGTAATCTTTTCTCCAGTTGCTGTTCCTCCATCCACTGAAGTACTAGAGAGCTGTGGGATTTAGGCCACAGAAAGAAAGATAAAGAATTTTGGGATTCAGGGTTCCATTGGGGGCTGCAGTGGAGCTGGAGTTGCAGCCTCGGTGGTGCTTCTCTTGGCTCTGCCCCTGCTTGACATTGGGATTCAAGAGTGCTGTGAAAATGGTCTGGATGCTGTGCCAGGACTGCAAAAGTGGAGGCAGCCTCCATGGTTTAGGTAGGTCCCTACTTATAGTTCTCAAAAATGTCTTATCCCCCATGGTGGGAGAAACTGCTAGCACAGGGGTAGGCAACCCCCAGCATGCATGCCATAGCATGGCACACAAAGGCATTTTGCTTGGCATGTGTGCATCAGGGTAAACAGTGGGGGGACCTGCAAGGGGCCTGAACCTTGTGGCAGTGCAACCCCAGCCCCACTGGTGGTGCATAGGGGGTGCACACAGGTGCATGTGCACCCCTTGTAAAAAGGCACAGGTGACGCGCCTGTGGGCTGTCGCTGCTTGCCACCCCCTGCCCCCTCACCGGGTGGTGGAGAGGGTGGGTGTGTGTGTGTGTGTGTGTGCGCGCGCGCGTGTGTACCGCGCGCCTGCCACTGGCTGACGCCATCTGTGGGTGGTCGCCAACTGCTGGTCAGTGCTCCCCCCCGCCTGGCCCCCCCCCAACAGTGCTGTGGCCGCCTGCGGGAGCTTACCGTGCCCCCCCCCCAGTCTCCAAGGGCACTTGGCATTCATGACTAGCCCCTTCCCCGCCATGACGTACGTGCACACTCACTGCCAGCAACAAGTGCACCTCAGGGCAGACAGTGGGCAAGGGGTCAGGGCTGCACTGCCACAACAAGGATTGGGCCTCTCCCAGCTCCCCCCGCACCTGCTCCTGGCATGTCAACATCTTACAAGTCGAGGATGTGGATGTTTTTGGAGCTTTGCCCAAAAACGCTGCTGACCCCTGTACTAGCAGCTCACAACTTTAGCTAGCATGGGTGCCCGAAACAGATGGAAGGAAAATCCCCTTTTAAAGAACATCATCCACTTAGTACTTCAAAATTCTGCAGCTAGATCCATTCAGTGGCTGCACACAACTACCATTTAGGAGACTAAAGGATTCACAGCACCATGTACTTGCACTCCAGCTTGAGGGGTGCAGGAATCCTGACTAATTTAGAGATGCCTCATTTATTCTGGAGGATGCCCTGCCCAGTCATCTCAAAGAAAGGTGGCCATTACACCAGGCTTAGAAGGTGGAGTTATAAGTCTGGGAATGGGATGTCATTGTATGGAAGAAGAGGAAAAGATGTTTTACTTGGAGACTATCTTGAATTTCCTATATTTTACTTTCTAACTTGAGCCTTCTAGTATGCTACAAGACCGAACATTACAAAATAAAACGAACAAAGGAACAAACAGTCCTCTCCACAGAGCTATGGATATTCCCCCTCTTCCCCATGTTTTGGGAAGAATATCTTCCTGGATTGTACCACAGTAAGCATTTAGAATAATTCCCATCTCACCTCAACTTCTGTACTAGTGCATGGCTCCTCAGCCAAAGCGGCCTCTTCCTCAGCTCTATGTTTTTTCTCTTTTTTCTTTTTCTTCTTTTTCACAACTTCGCCTTCTTCTGCATTTGTCTGTTCTGTACCAGGGAGAAAAGGAAAAGGAGATGCTATCAGTGCTCATGAATATTTACAGCAGGATAGCTTGCATTCTCTGCTTAAGGCTCAAACACCCCAAATAGATCCGCATGCCTTTACCACTTATCAAAGTACTTCAACTTGTTTTTGAATTATCCTGGGGGCACAGTCCTTAACAGGAGAGGTCTTCCCCAGCATTAGGAGTTTAAGACTATTTTGACCACAGCTATAATCAGCTGAAGGACACCAAAATCCAAACACAAATTCACTGAGCCAGTAGCAGATTTCAACTGAGTCCAGCATCAAGATATAAGAAATATACCAATGCCTACACATTAAAGACAGACAGGAATACTTTACTAACAGGTGGACTTACACAAACTGAAGTATTTGCAACTAACATTTCAACATTTTGCTAATGTGCAAGACTGAGCAAACCTAGAAATACTTCCCTTGTTCAGACAGAATAAAGACAGGGACATATACTGGATATATAGTGAAAATTCTATTTACTAAAAATGACCTATAGGATGCTGGCTAGCCCAGGTACACTCTTGCCTCTCTAATTTAACCTTTCATAGTTCATGACACCAGACTCTGGAATAGACTCCCCAGGGGTCGGGAGTGAGGATGTGTGCAAGCACCTACCCTGAAGATCTTCAAAAGGAGACTGCTGGGTCATTTGACCCCAGCAGTCTTTCCTGGCCAGAGCAAGGGGTTGGACCTGATGATCTCACGAGGTCCCTTCCAGCCCTAAACTTCTGTGAACCTTATTATTCAGACCCATCTTCCAACAGTTATCTTATCAGAATACATGGGCAAGTACAGTATAAGTTACTACTAGTGACAACAGAACTTTAGGAACCTGCAGATAAGCAGAAATTATTGCTGATCTGATACCTTATGTGGCACTTGTGCTCCAACTGGCACCCTACCAAATCACATGTTTTGCTTAACTAAATCAGACTTGAATACTAGGTTCCATAGTGTCACGCCTTGCTATGCATAAGTTCAGGATGCATCAATCAATTCTTCATCATCCACAGAACTGGCATGCTGTACAGATGCTGCCAGAAATGCAACTTTGGGAAACAACACTTCTCACAACACTCCCCAAAAAGTAAAAAGAGAATCTATTTTGAAAGCATAGGAGAGCTAACACATTAACACCTGCAAAAGATAAAAGCAAGCCTCACACACAAAAAACCCAAGTGATAATACACGACCTTCCTATTAGTTCTGCTGCAATTTCACAAATTTAGATCCTCAGAGTAACAAACAAGACACAGAACTCAAAAAGACTGCATCGATATCTACCTCAAGTCCAATCTTAAGACAAAAATAGCATGGGTAAACAAATGTTTGGCTTTGTCTACAGCAGAACAGTTAATATCTGCACTTTCCAACATAAAAAAAATGTTTAAAGCCACATTGGTTTTAGAGGGTTCCAGATTAAGGAATTAGTATGTACAATATATTAATGTTATATCGTGCGTCAGCCAGGTAAGTCCAGCATGCAAATACACGGCTTCTAATACATACAAAAACAATCATAGGATCACTTGTGACTGTTCATAACATGCACAAAGAAAAACCTGAAACAAATGGTATGTGTACAATTATTTTGGTATACATTGGGGGCATACATTATTTTCTGAGTCACCATTGCTGTACTGCAAGTTTTCATTCATCTGGACTACTAAGTGAAAGAGCATATTTTCAGACACAGTGCTGGGTGTTACCTTGGAAAACGAGCCTGTACTATTACTGTGCGTGTCATCAGCCTGACATACTAGACAAAGGGAACCTGTCACACAAATTACTATGGGAGCTAATATATTCAACACTCGTGAGCCTTGTCAAGTTGCTGGCAGAAGGCTGCCTTCATAAAGGTTTAAACTACTTGTTTCCAGCAGAGCTCATCACAAGATTTCAAATGTTTGTACCAGGACAGAGTAAAGATAAAGGCTCCTGGGACTCTGTTCTTTCCCCCCAGTCCAGCACTTAAGTCATTCACCTCAGTGGGGTTTCTTTGCAATACACAGTAGTTGACAAGAACGCCAAGCACCTTTTCCATCAGGCACTGAAACTCAACAGCACTGCAATAACTGAGCTTGACTAATGTCATTACACTGTGCTGGGGCTGTACCCCAATTTCCATTCATGCACGTCCACCGTTCAGTCTTTTAATAATACCCATTTACATACCAAGCTTTTGTATATAGATCATTTCATTTCTTCCAGCATGCATGACAGGTCAAATGGTATATGGCTAAGTACACAACACCATGATATACAACCCTGTCATTTAAAGCTGCATACCCTGCAGGGTTCACCCCATTAATTTCTTTAGGATGACAGTTCTCTCTTAAAAGTCCTGTCTTGCAAGGAGAAGTCATACCAGTGTACTATATGAGCTTTAATGAAAGCAAAATGCTTTACTGCAAGTGCTGGCTAGCCCTAGTGCTAGCAAGAGCCTCAATTATTCTGTCTAACCATGTAAGCTTCTAAGGATTCATACCATTTTCCCCCCACTGGTTTAAAAACAGGCTGGTGTTAAAGGGACAATAGCAATTAAAAAGTATTAGAATTTAGTTCAGGTATTGCCCCTTCCCCTGAATATCCCTGCCATCCCTGGGGAATTTAAGAGACTTTTAAAAAAGGTTCTTCCCAGTGTGGGTTATTAAGAGACAAGGACTCAAGTTGGTATCTGTATAATGCTGGAACACAAGAGAAAAAGAATTAGACTACTGCATTTAAAAAAAAGATTTGAAAGCCCAGAGAACCCTAAATGAACTTCCTGAATGTGCTCCAGTTTTGTACACTTTATGACACACAACTATTTGCCAAAATTGTGAAACTGTTCTCTACTGGAAGAGAGTTATGTCAAAGTCGGTCTAGAACGCCAAAATTACATTTTAGTGGATGGTCAAATGATAAAGTAGAGAGAATTTACAGTGGATATCTAGTTGAATAGACTGCTGAAAGGAGTAGGATGTACATTGAGAAAACAAGAATACAGGTACTTTTCTAAGCAAAGATCTATTTTGTAATTATACACGCAAAGAAGACAGTGATTCTTAGTTTCTAATAGTTCAACGGTGACTTGGAAGTGTGCATTGTGAAATAAGTAGACACAAAAGGTGAGTATTAACATTATGAGAGTGTGAATTTAAACAGCATAAGGCAGTGGTTCTCAACATTTTTGAATTCGAGGCACCACTCGGAAAACACCAGCTTTTAGCTTTCACTAATTTTTTGACTATGGAAAAAAAAATAACAGAGCAAGTCTGTTGCAATGAAGAAAAAAAACCACAACAGGTCAGAATGCTTTTGACACAATGGATTTTTATATGAAATTTCTGGGTTTATCTTGTGAATCATGTTGGCATTTGCGCACCTAATGGTGCTAATATTGTGTGACACACTTGAGAGAATCTCATGGCACCATTAAGAGAATCATTGGTATAAGGGGACAATGAGAAGGGACTGGTCTGCATAAAAAAGGTAAACAAAACCTTGGGAACTATGACTGCCTTGGTTTGTACAGCACCCAGCATTTTAGGGCCTCAGTTCTCATCTGAAACAAGAAAATAAAGACAGCTGGTCTAAATGGAGCTGACAAAAGGGTTAGCTGAAAATGGTAGGCTTGTAAACATTTGTGCAAAACCTATACACTGCTAATACTGGCCGTTACAAGAGAAGTACACCTTTGTTTTGGTGAAGGAGGAGAGAAATAAAAGGATGGCATGAGGCAAGTTTGAAATGCCCTCCACTTTGTGTTCCAAGATCTCAGACTCTTTGTCTACCTTAACTTTTTTTTATTTACTTTTAAGAACATTTTAAAGAAATTCTTCCTGAAAAATCTGTGTCTTTAGTTCTTGTTTAATAAAATTTGCCTGGGGATCATCCTAGCTTCTAGATTGTATATCCAGCTATTATTTCCCACTTTATTGGGAACAAACAGAACTCTCTCTGCCTTGTACATGGGATTATGAGAAATCCCCAAGGGCCCTGGTCAGCACAACTTAACTTTGCCAAATCACTCAATCAGCCTGAAGTCACTCCTGCCCAGGAAATTCTTGGTGGTTCAAGTTTTCCAGTGGCTATAGTTAAGCTCTACACACTCCTCCAGATGCTGAAAGAGGAACCAGTACTCAATGAGCCTAAATCAAGCTGACAGATACAGTGTTTCTAACTGAAGGTATGACATTTATTAATATGCTTGTGAACAATAAAACTCACCTTCCAGAGCCCACAAATATTTACACTAGAACTGCAAATATAATTCCACCCCCCAACTCCCACGAGGGATTATATATTGCAAGAAACATCTGCAAGGCAATACATTTTCGGAGGAAGTCTTGGGGAAGAGGTATAAGGATGTATAAAACAGGTTTTTATATTATAGCATTATTTCCATAATCTGCCTTTACATGGAAATAAGACTATAATCAAGAGAGTTAATTTGACACTGGGAACACATTCAGAAGGATCTTAGAAACAGCAGTGAGCGGAAGACTCATGTACTTCAAAAGCAAATCAGAGTACATTCTTATTCTATCACAGGGGTCAGCAACCCCTGGCAAGCATGGCACGCAAGGCCATTTTGCTTGCCCCTTGCACCCCAGGCAAAGCCCCTATCCCCCAGCCCAGGCTCCCGGCTGGCAGCAGCTACCCAGAGCCAGGGCCAGCTGCAGCCAGGAGGCAGACCAGGACCTACCAGGACCTTAAAGTTCATCTGTCCAGAGTGGTAAGAAGGTGGCTCCAGTCCTTGCCACTGCATCAGAACAAAAAGGGCCATAAAATCAGAAAACCCAAAACGGAGAGAAAGACTGCCTCAGCATAAAACTATCTTGGAGTGGTGCAGAACCAGTACCATTGCTCTGATATTACACCTCTGCTACTGCTGGAGTTGGGAGTATGAGGGATACAGAGAAGCATCTCTGTGATCTGGCAACACTTATAGGCTTTGCCAGCTGGGGCAAGCAGTGCAGTTGCTAACAACTTGAAGCAGCTCACAGCCAACCTTAACTGAAACGCATGCAAAAGTGAGTGGGGTTAAAGAGATCTCTTTCCCCTCCTGAATTACTGTGTTCTCCTTTGATACAGAGAGGATTAAAACATCTATTTTGAGTCTTTACATGCATATGTGCATGTCTGCATCCATGCACGCCTGGAGAAAATGAGAACTTTTTAGTGGCACCCTGTAACAGGGAGCCTGGGTCTCTTGTCACTTTAAGAGGAGAGAAAGCTGCAGTTAGGACCCAGGGCAGCTGAACAGAGTCTAGCTGCAAGAGGTGAGGCAGCCAGG